GCGCTTGTGGAAATGCTCCATGGGCCAAGTAAGACCGGCTAGCCCAGAGGAGGAATACGGCTTGCAACTGGCCCAGGACCCGCAGTGGAGGAGGAGAAGGAGGAGGAGGAGGAAGAGGAGGAGGAGGAGGAGGAGGAGAAGGAGGAGGATGAGGAGGAGGAGATTTAAGGGGCCGCGCGGCGGCCCACCAGACTGAGCGTCAGTGAGGGGCAGGAGACCACAGCGCACACCTCCCAAACGGGGAGTGGGCCTTGGCCAGCCGCCTCTCGACTCGCTTCAGTCCGAGGATCCAGAATCATGGTCATCTTTGACCGTGCCTGCGACCTGGGGAGCGTTATCCTCCCCTCCTCGCGATGAGTCCACTCGATCGAACCTGGACCTGGGATCCGTGGCGAGGGCGGATGCCGCCGCGTGGGGCGACGCTCCACCCTCAAAACGAAAATGCGCAGCTTCGTCCTCTGCGTACACATCACCGCTTGGCTCGGGGGCAAGTCTAAACGACCTCGCCTCAGCCGCAGCCTGACGCGTGACTCCCCCACCCGCTCCCCGCTCAACCGCGCCCGCTTCCTTCGCAGCAATACGCGCTCGCAGAGCCGCCAGCCTATCGATGTACCTGGCGTGAGTTGGGATACGTGCAGGCCTGACCGCCTGCTCGTATGAATTCGCCTCTTGCAGGGTGAGTGGAACTTCGTGCTCCGCGCATGTGACTGACAGCTCTTTCTTCGGACGCAGTCCTCTCCGCAATCTCCTGAGAGCCGTCGTGCCCGCGCTGCTCCTGTCCTCGTCCGTGCGAGGTTGCCGACAGCGCTTAGCGAACTTGAAGATCCTATGCTGGGCGAAATAACCACACAGCATGCAAAAAAATGGCTTCGACTGGTTAGCCACTTGCACCGAGGCCAACTGATGGCCGCGACGAGGGGACAGGGTCAAGAGCTCCTTCACCCTCGCAGGGAAACCAGAAGAACCCGCCTCGGGTCTCGAATCCTTCGTTCCACTGTAGAAATTCAAACAACTAATGCATCTAGAGCCCCACAGCCAAGGCCCCCAGGAATGCCAACCATCGTTCTTATCAAAAAGTTTGACAGGTCGCTCCTTTGTCGGCGGACGCTGATGCTGGACCCTCGGAGACAGTGGGAGGATCCCCGCGGCGAGGCGCGCGACTGTTTGGAATTGCCCCACCGCATTATTGACCGCCTCTACCCCGGCAGCTGACGGTTGCGGGTGCAATCTGAGCGCCGATTTAGCTGCTAAATCCGCCTGCCAATTTGCCTGGTCTATCCACCTTTCTGGGGCAGGGAGCGCATCAATAACACTCAGCTCTCTATGGGCTGGGGTAAAAACAGCTGGGGGCATACTTGTGAATCATGTGCGGCAATGCTCCTCTGCGCAGGCCCGCATACTTGTCTTTGTGGCTAAGCTGCTGATGGGGCGTACTGTTGTGTAAACGAACAGCGTGCATACAGTCACTATAACACGCTGCCCCATGCCTCGGCACGAAAATGGGCAACAGACTCAGCTGCAGCTGCTCCGCTGCCTGGCTCGCCTGCGGGAGCGACGGCCTAACCGTGCCCTTCGCCGTCGCCACCTGCTGCCCTTCGGGCCCCATGAACACCCACGAATGCGTTGCCCTGGGAAGCTCTTTGATGGCGTGAGGGGCGCAGGGCCCATCTCCAGAAACACTCAACCCCGTGATGTCCGGATCGTTCCAGGATAAGGGCGATCCGTCCGCGGCGAACAGCATGGGCTCGTGCTCGTCGCTGGGTGGCGGCCACGAGCTAGCAGGGTGGCGAAACTTGAGTCCTGTGTAAAACTCACTGGGGCCATCCTGCGCCTGCTGGTAAAAGAAATCACTGGCCTCAACGGCCGAACGGGCGGCGCGGACCTCACGACTACCTACGCAGCGGCACAATCTATGTTGCAGCGAATCGGGCGGACCGCAGAGAGGACACGCCCCCGACGATAAATAACCAGCCTTGGCGGCGCGATCTTCGCACCAGCAACCATTTCAGAAAAGGGACATGGACGTGTACTTACCTTGAGCATCGAGCCCAATTCCCTTGCCCGACGCCTTAGCGATACGACGAATAGGTTCAACGCGCACTCGCCCCCCATCCCCCCGTCCGAGCTTGGCGGCCAGGGGCCGCTCGCGGTGCCTCTGAACTCATTCACACAGGAGGGATCCGAACATCGCAGGGGAATTGCACAACTAAGAAAGCTCGTTTCCCTTGTCATCCTGCCACAAAAGCGGCCCGAAGGCCTCCCAGACAATGCGCTGAAGGGACAAAAACATACGGCTAGTGGGGCCCCTCGAAGTCTTCCACGCGAGACCGTCCTTCGGCACCGCCAACCACATGTTGCGCATCTCGGGAAGCGTGAAAAAGGCGAGCGCGGGCTCAGCTGTCGTTTGCAACACGGCAGCAGCCCAGGCTAAGGCAGGCGCGACCATGCTGCGCCAAACTGGATCACCGAGCAGCGCTGTCTTCGCCTGGGCCGACACTCCCCGTGAGCGGGTAAGGAAAAGGGAAGCGCAACCGACCTGATCTTCTTGAGCTCAGCGTCGGAGCAGCCCGTTATCGTGCCCCCATACGACACCGCAGGTCGGACCCCCGCCGTCTAGATTTGTCCCATCCGACTTTCGTCCCCGGGGAGGGCCCTCTTCAAGCGCTTCAACTTACGATGCCTCCGAATCATATCAGCAAGTCTTCCTTTCTTCTTGCTGCAAGCCTGCTTAGCATTCCCCTTCGCACCAAGGGCCAGATCGACTCCCAGAGAGACAACATGGGTTCCCACAGTGCCCGCCAGCGTTCCGAGGCGACGTCCGATCCGCAGCGACAGAGCAGGCGAAGAGGCAAACGTCAAAAGCTTGCCGGCCGCCAGTCCGACTCCCAAATCGTTCCGAAAAACTTCGCGAAGGTCATCCGCAGCTTTCCCCAGCACCTCCACGACATGATCAGGGCTTCCATAGGCGCTGACCGCATCATCGTCAACGTAGGAAGCCAAGTCCACATCGCGGTTGCGCTCGAGAAATTTGTCAGAGGGTTCGAGCGCATACACCTTAACATTAATGTCATTGAAACACGACCCCGCAGGCAGCCCGCACGGAACATACAGCGGGACGACACTACGATCCGTCCCAAGACGGAGGATGCGCGGGCCGCGCCAAAAATTGAAAATGACCTTGACCACCGCGCTGGGCAGTCCAGCCGCTATCGAGCGGTCTCGGAGCGTGGTTAATCGGAAGGACTCGTAGTACTTGGATCCGCCCCAAGAGAAGCCTCCCGTCACATTCCCGTCTCCAACATGAGCTTCGGCCTTGGCGGCCTGATTCCAGATGCTTTGCTCCGCCGGCTTCCCCGCCCCAAGCGCCCAATGCCGTCTCGGGTGTCGGGCCTCGGAATCCTGGGCCATGGGCCGCCTAGCTTTTCCCCGCAGCCTCACAGGGGCCGCGCAAAGCAAAACAAGACGGAGCCCACCCTTGGGTTTTCCAGGAGGGGGAAAAACATCCAGTAAACGGCCTTCGGGAAGACTCCAATCTTCTTGATCGCCCGGAAAATGCACGCGAGGGCCTCGAGGCCAGCATCGCACAACGCACCGTAATGTCTGATGTGCACGCCATCCAAACTCTGAGCCGTGTGAGGGCTGAACGTTTTGCAGATAGCACGGATATCTTCAGGCCAAAAACGCTCGAAACATTGCCTGTCCTGGACCAGGAACTCTGGGCTTGGGGAAATCTTCCAGCACGGCCCTGACGCGTCGGCTTCATTCGCGAGCAGCCTGCGCGAGTCGGCCGAACAAAAACACCGGGGGCAGTCTCGATAATCGTGGGCAACCCTTCGGGTTTTAAACGGGAAAGCTTGTGCATCTTCGGCGCCGAACCAAATAGCGCCTCGTGCTGCCACTGATCCCAGCTCACCTTAGAACGCGCGTCATGGCCCGATCGGGCGCCGTCAAAATCGCCACCCCAATCATCAATAGCTGTCGTGATCTTTTCGAGCCAATCCGACAGGTGGCCTCCGTCCTGAGGCCGAGACGCAATTAACTGCCTGGCAGCGCTGACCGCGGCGTCCAGTCTCACGGACAGCCCCCTCCCCCATGAAAGGGCTGCTGGACGATGCTGCAGATGTTAAGCACGGCCTGGATGTCCTAGTGCACAACCAGGTCGCGGCTCTCATGAACTCGCAACGCCGTGCACTGGAAGTCTCTGAGGTTCTGCTGGGGCCAAATCCAACCTTCGCAGACCGCGCCCTCATCCTCCGGGTTCCGACGCGGTTTCGCAAACACCGAGACCCACTTCGCCGAGGGAGGAAGCCCCTTGAGGCATTTGTTCTTGATCGGAGTATCCAGCTTACCTTCTAACTCGACCTCCATGACATCCGAAAAACGCTTTCACGCGGCAGAGAGCAATTCCCACACCACGATCACCGAATCAACGCTGGCAGCTCTGTTAGCTTCTTCGGCCAGGGCCCTGGGGACCTCCCAAACGGGAGCTCCCGTGGGAGCCTCTTGTGCGTTTGATACACCAACTTCTTGATCCCGCCAACACCTGCCTTGAACTGCAACTGCACAGGCATGCGCGGGCGGTGCGGCCACGTCGCGATGGTAGAGGTCTTGTCGACCAACTTCGCGACCGCGGGAGACACCACGAAATAGTCAATGTACGAATAGCCGCGGCCGTGGCACATGTCTCGGCTGGGGGCTGTAGGATGACCACGTTTGCTTTTCGTGGTAACCCCGACATCTCGACGATCGACGACTGCATGTTCCAATCCGCTCCGAAGATGGCCAGGTGCTGGCCCTCGAGGGCCTCGCCCGTTTCCTTCAAAATCGTCAGGTTGCGCTTCGGGGGGCCTTCGGAGTCGTGGAGGCACCCGCGGGCGGCCAAACCTGGTTGCAGCCGTTGCGGGAGGTCCAGCTCGACAATGATCAAGCGATGCGGCACTAACACACCGCGTGGCAGCCGACTTGGCTACCTGAGGCCCACGGTGGCCCTCGCAAATATCGCCGCGCCCGCTGAGAATTGCCCACGGCCAGCGAGAACAGAAAGAGAACAGAGCATGTGCCATCCCATCGCCAGTGCTTTGGCCGTCTTATCCCCTTGAGTCTCGTCCGTAATGCCTATCTCCTGGGCGAAAAGGACCAATGCTTCGGATCGTCTGAGCCGTTTCTCAAGGGTGCCCCAGCTGTTCCCGTTATAACACTCAAAAACCTGCCCTGGTAGGTCATCGGCCTGCAACGTAGCAGGCGAGGGGGGGCAGCCCGTCCCGAACTTAGAAACTTTGAAGCCAGTGCAAAGCGGTCGCCCCACATGGGGCTTAACTCTGCTCGTGCTGGACGCGGCCCCGAGGTTGCCATAGTCATGCAAGCTCGAGTTCAGACTATCCTGGCCACGCCTGGGGCCGGCGGCCCCGCTGCTCCAGGCTGTTCTTTTCTCACCGCACCGTTCGCCAGTTGGGGGCGAGAAGTCGGCGAAACCTCGCCGACACGGGCCTCGCAAGAGGCCCCCCACAACATGAACCGAAGAACCGTGCTCCATAGCGGGAGCTGCTCCACAAAAAGACTGAGCCTGGTCTTCCACCCTGGAGGCCCTAAGTACAAGGTGTACTCCTTCAGCGCCGTCAGGAACCCGATGTCTTCGCCCGCTTGAACGCCCCTGACGCCAGAACCTGACAGATCGCCCGCTTGTCACCCCGATGATCTTCCCAGAACTTCTCGGCCTCTGCGTCATCGGCGAAGGCTTGAGGTAGTTCTTCATCATCATCTTCATCAGAGGGGCCAGCAGGAGGAGTAGCAGTGCCATCGGGAGCTTGGTCCTTCTGCGTCTGTGCGATGAGAGCCGCGTACTCCTTGAAAGCCTGGCTCTCAAGCATCGACTTGATCTCCTCTTTGCCTTCGAGCATCCCCGCGGGGATCTCCAGAGACGGCGGCGAAGGCTTGGCATGTGGAACGCCACGAGGAATAGCAGCCACCAGTTGCTTCTGGAGCGCATCCCCTTCAGTAGCCGCTGCCCGACGCTTGGCCCCCACCTCGTCGCGCTCGGCAGTGGCCTCCTTGATGACATCATCCTGCGACTCCACTTCACCAGTGAGCTTCGCCAACTGCTTCTCCGCCCTAGCCAGGCGGTGTCCGACGTTGGCGTGCTGCGTGAAGTCGCCCTTCTTGGCCTCCAGCTTGGCGCGGACGTCGCGCAGCTGGGCGACCAGCAACTCCTTGGCTGAGGACATGTGCTCCTTGCCGCAAGCCTCGGTGGCTTGCTCGAGCTCCGCCGCCTGGGCCACCAGGGGGGTCCTCAGCCTGTTCGGTTGACTCTCCGCCTGGGCTCGCACCACTTTTGCCACCGCCGACATGGCGGCCGCCCTGGGGAGAGGACTTGAGGAGTAGGCCGAAAGCTTGGTGATGTCTGCCAGCTGCTCCTCGAGCTTCGCCTGGCGCTTATCCCCGAGCACTTGTGGCCCACCACCACCCCCGGGAGGAGCACCTGCACTATTGCCCGCCCCATTGCCGAAGGTCTTTGCACGGTCCAGAACATGCCTGGACGCCTTTTGTCCGCATTGGCACTGCAATATGCACGCCCAGTTGCTCGTTCTTCCACACTTCTGGCAGCCCCAATATGGCGTCCGCGGCCCTTTGACTACTGCATCCATTCTTGGCTCCCTCAGGAGCAGGGTAGGTATGATCCAGCAAGAACTCACAAACCACCAAAACCGAGCCAAACGCCCGCAACAGCACTTGGCCGCTCCGAAGAGGCATGCTGTTGCAAGCTCAGAAAAAAAAAAACTTAGCCGAAACGGCTAGGAGGAGGAGGAGGGGGAGGAAGGAGGCGGAGGAGGATGAGGATGAGGAGGAGTGGAGCGAGCTGCTGGAGCAAACGCGCCGCGGTCGCGCAACAGCGGTGGGCGTCTGGCGGGAGGGGGTGTTTCCCGAGGAGGCCTGGGATCGGCCGCTGGCGGCCGAAGGGGGTCGCGCTCGGGCGTGCGCCCCCCTCGCCCCGCGAGGGTGGGCGTGAAGTCCTCGTCGGCCGTGGCTTATTGAGTAGGAATGAAAACCGAGGCTCGTTATCTGCAGCTGATACCCTGTGGAGTACTGTCCCCTGAATGGATCGGGCTCAGCCCCACCCCCCGGCCGAACCATTAGCTTTCCGGAATAATCAACCTGAGTTCAATATTCCAAAATCGTGATCCAAGGTTTAGTTCATGCCAGAACGTACCCCCAAACGGCGCCCCCAAGGCTCAATCATTATAGTTCCGGAATAAGTAGCCCAGGGTCAAGAATCCGGGAACGTTACGAATCGGGGTTATTTATCTCCTGGAGATAATAAACCGGGGTCAGTATTCCGACATGAAAAACATGGTGAGGAACCTGGGGTTTGAATGAAAATAATAATTATCATCATTCCCGAAAGACGAAAACCAAGTTCATAACTCCCGGGACATTGTAAACCCCAACCAATATTCCCGCAACAATATGAACCGAAGCTACCCCATAACAGTATAACAAAAATGTTATAATGTTCTGGGGGAGCATTATGAACCCAACTCTATATTCCCAGGACATTGAAGCCCAAATTCATAATGTTCCGGGCGAGACATTGTGAACCCTAGTCAATCACCACAAAACGTTGCAACCCCAGGGTAATATCTATTTGTGGTCCATCCTGCGCCCCGCCCCCCCCCCTCCCCCGCCCTCCGCCTCCCTTCCCCCCCCTCCGTGCCACAGGGCTTCCTCTGCGCTTGTAAAAAGTGTCGGCCCCTATTCTCGGGTGTTGCTGGAGTGCCCCTGGCCCCAGGCACCCCCCGGATTTTCGGGGTGGCCCAGGCGGCCTCCGGGACAGCCCTCACGAGGCCCAGAGGCTCCAAAAATGGAGCGAAAAGCTGGGGGCACATTGGGACAGGGACACTTCTAGCAACACCTTATATTCGGCGGCGAGCGAGGGGGGGGAAAAGGAGGAGGGGAGGGCCTTCCCAGAGGGCAGCGGGACGCATCAGAGGGCCTCCGGCCGTCTTCGGGGAAGGCTGAGATTAAGTCGGGCGTGTCCCCCTGCAGGGGGAATTTCGACGAGAAGTAAAAAAATACCCCCAAAATGTTCCAACATGGTCAAAGAATAATGAACAAATCGTGCCCTGACTATTTTGGGACTACTTTTGAATACTCCCCCTGTACAAGCCCGACTCAAAGCTGGAGGACTTCCGAGCCTTCTGAGAAGGCCCGCCCCTTCTCACGTCCCCCACTCGCTCGCCGCCGACCTACCCAAGGCTTCGTGGGGCCTTTAAATGCACCGCAATAATTCTGGGCCCAACCCTGGGGTATACGTTGGGAGGGCTTTCATCCTCGATATGGGTGCTTCCGAATAGCCCTTGCCGGGGTACATCCCGAGGCTTCCCCCTTTTTCTGAGCGGCCGAACTTTTCGAGCGGACTCGGGAATGCAGGGAGGAGAATCGCCTGCGACACACTGTGCGGAGCCAAGACCTTGCACGACCCCTACAATTTGCAGGGAAGAGTTGGGGAAGTCGGAGCAGGAGAAGGTCTGACCCTGGGTAGCCCCCACTTTCCGTCTGCACGGACTCGCCACGACCAACGCTGAGCGCAAATCCATGGCTCGCTCACCCACCAATCCCCTGCACTCCTATAGATTTCACGCTGCGGCCATGTCAACAGCATGCAAGCCGCACCATTCGCACGAGCTGCAGTCAGGAACGCTGAGAAACGAATGCAATTGTCATGCTACCACAAGAGACGCTGAATACGTAACCAAGGAGCTTGTCTGGCCTCGGCGAGCATCGGCCACGAATAGAAGTCCCGACCAAGACCTAAGGAATGGCCGAAAGGGAGAGCTCCTCTCCTGAACCCCAAGAGGCCCGTATCTAGGGGAACGACCAATGACATAAACAAAAAACTCGGAGGTCCGCGCGGACTTCTCGGATCGGCGCTGGAGGCGCCGCCGAGGGGGGCTCTGGCGCCGATCCGAGAAGTCCGCGCGGACCTCCGAGCCTTCATGCTCATGTCGCCGTTCGCTCCCCGGCTATCTCAACGTCCAGGCTGTACCTCCTCGCGCGCGGGGCACCCGCCACTCGCCAGGAGACGTAGCCGCAGACCGCGGGGCTGCCGAGCCGCCGCCCGCCGCTCGGGGGTGGGGCTCCAGCGGCAGCTCCATGCCGAAGGGTGCCCGCTGAGGCCGCTGCGGGAGGCCCATCTGGCTCGCGGGCCTCGGAGTGCCGGAGGCCTCTCTCCCGTCGTGCGACCGATCCCTGCCTGTGCTGGCATGGGCTTGGCCCCGCTGGCCGACTGGCCCCCCTGGTGGGGATATCAAGGGCACCCAACCTCGCGCTCCGCGCTGCGCGGAGCGCGAAGTGCGAATAGCTTCGCGCTCTCGCGCCGCCTCCCCGGGGAGAAAAGGAGGAAGAGGAATCGGAGCCGAACCGCGAAGCGCGAATAACTTCGCGCCCTCGAGGGCGCCCTTGGGATATCCGCTGTTCCTGCCGGGTTCCGCTGGACCGATCCATCCCTGGGCGGAGAACCTGGTTGGGAGAGCACAGCCCACTAGGGATGGGGATCTGTTAGACGATGTTGTTTCCCCTGCTTTCAGCACATCCCCTTGTACGCGAACGCACTCTATATGTGGCTCCCTGCGACGTGCGAAACTGTGTGACAGAACATTGTTGCCCGAAGCCCGGCCTTAGAACACATCGCATACCTGGCGAGTTGTCACCCGACCACTGCAACAAGGCATTGAGGTGTGAAACAGACGACTGGGTTTCTCCTTCGAGCCTGAAGCGCCACGCCTCCTCAATTCACGGCACCCACCCAAATCTCCTCCAAGAAAGCACTGCCTGGGTCTGATGAGCGCGGAGCGACTTGTAGGCCTTGCTCACGGCTTCCCCCAGACGTCGCACTTACGCAAGTAGTAACACGTCGAATATCGATACATATATGAACTTGCGTGCGCTAGTGACTGCGCGAGCGCTTCGCGCGCTTAGGTGCTTGCGCAGCAAACTTGCAACATATACAGCTTGCCACGGTCAGTTTCATAAGCGCGTCTCGGGGTCATTCGCGGAATTGTTGACGGAGGAGGCTTGTGGGACGTTCGGAACTGTTAGGGCCAGTGGCCACGTGGGCAGCTGTCGGGTGAGCAAAAAAGGGGAAGAGCATGAGGAATAACACTGTGGGCAAACAGCTGGCCCGCATCTCTTTTCATGTTGTGACGGAACTTCTGGCTTTCGTCGAACACGTAATAGGCGCAACCACGAAGTAGCTCCCTGTATAATTCCAGAGTCTTGCACGTGAGCGTGTTAAGTCGTCGAGTTTGCGATGTAAACTCCCGAACGGCAGCGGGCAGGTAGCGTGGGGCGTGCGACAACCACACATGACGAAACTGGCAAGAGAACAAGAGGAACACGCCGATGAGGTGGAGGGTCACGGACGGGCAAACTTAATGGGAATAACAAGAACAAGAGAGAGAGAGACAAAAAAGAGTACACAGAGGACATGAAGCAAGTGGAGGAAGGAATCAGGTTTTTGGCAGGAGGGTCGATATATCGAGTCAGCCTCGCTCCTGCGCCTTCACAAGCTACGTGCAATAAGCGAGAACACGCGTGAACTCCAACTCCTCTCGAACAAGATAGGAGAACAGTGAGAAAGGACATGAAAAAAATAGAAATACTTCTCATGGGTACATGAAAATGCGAGTGAAGGTGCCACCGACACAGCCAGCATCCCCTCAGACGCGTGTGTCCGCACACTTGGGCTCACCGTGGGCATTCTTGGAGGCCTCGGGGGTCCATCTTGGGCTCGGCCGTGGGTGTGCCGTGGGGGTCTCCTCGGCCGTCGTGGGCCTTTGGGTCCCTTCCCGAACCTCGTCTGGGCCGGATTCGGGGGTCGGGGCCAGACCACCATGCAGCACATTCTGGCCAGGCCCATCCTTGCCATCGTTCGGGCGTCCACTCCCTGTGCATTTCTCGGTTCCGTGCGTGTTTTTGTTTGCTCGATGATCCAGGATGTCGGGAGCGGCCAAGATGGGAGTGTCCAAGAGGGGGGGGTGCAAATCATGACCGGCGGCATGTGCGCGGCCCAGCGGGGGGGCCAGGGACGAAATAAAATAAGAAGAGGCGCCATAAAATCTGGGGAAATATCATGACCCCCGCCATGATATCCACCCCCCCCCTTGTCATCACCCCCCTCTTTTCCGCCCCCGAGGATGCTCCTCCAGGGTCCTCGCCGAGAAAAAAAAACACACGTCCGAGCGATGCCAGGCATCGCAAGTTCAGGTTTCAAAAGTGCAGGCCGTCGTTGGCGTTTTCTTCGTCGGCGTGTCGACATTGGGCGGAAGGCGGGGGGATGGCGCGGTGGGGTCTGGCTCCGGAACTCTGCTCAATGTGACGGTTTGCAAGAGTACGTCCTATGGGGGAACCCCCACCTGCTTTCTGACTACCTACCAGACCACCCCAACCCAACCCGAAGGCACGAATTTGACCCGAATTTCGGGTTTGGGGGGGTACGGGGACCATGTGTTTTTTCGGCGTTCCCCGATCCCACCCCCACTGGAAATGGAGGGCAAATTGAGGCCTTCGGGTTGGGTTGGGGTGGTTTGATCGGTGGTGACCTTCGGCAAAGCAATATCAAAAACGACCACTTCCTGGGTCGAGCCAGGGTAGGCGTTTCTTCCTGATGCTCGCATCTTGGAAAGCATAGAAAGGCTACGTGCGGCGGGCAAGTCAGTATCCAGGCATTCGACATGAGGCAAGGAGGCGATTGCGAAGGCATGCGCCCGATGAACACGCGACGGGTGAGGCATCACGACCAGAAAGAAATGTTGCACACACAACGGCGATCGCCAGGGTAAACTGCGCAATAACTGACAGAGAAAGACTGGGGAATAGAGAGAGAATAAAAGAGAGAGAGAGAGAGAGAGAGGGAGAGAGAGAGAGAGAGAGTAGGAAAAGGGCATAGCTGGAGGAAGGAGGCAGCAGGACGGAAACAAACGTGAAAGCCAACGTAGAATATCGACGAATCATATCAAGAACGAGAGTACTCCTATCACGGGGAAAGCGTGGGCACGAGCACGAACGGATAAATAATATACCACATCGTAAGCCACCCACCAACGTTGTGGATGCCATGACAATGGACACTCCAACAGTCCTATCATTGAGCTAAAATGTGTTTAACATGTAAGGAACTATGATTGAACGTGTTTTAACCGGTGTTTTACATGTTTACGACATGTTTGAAACATGTTCTAGACATCTGGACTGTAAATGACCGCATGCTCCAATCTCCAATGATCGACTTCCGCCCCCCCCCCCCCCAAAAAAAAGACATGATCGACCCACGAACCCGGAAAGGAATATAGAAATGTAAGACATGGCGGCGTTTCAAAGACACCTGATTCGGAGACAGGCAAGTGCAATGCTGAGTGCATCGATCTTGGTGTACCGTGCCGAGGGCTGTGCTGTGCTGCGCCGTTCTGAACTGCGATTTGCCATGCCGCGGTTGTGCTCTATATATCGTTGTGGATCGAGTCCTCCCTGGCATCCGAATCCTGACCGAACTGATCTGGATCTTAAGCTCGAGATGCCTGAGCACATAGTAGCTGCCCCAGAACTAATCGACAGAGGGGACATGCTAGGAGGACGCGCCGCGGAACGTCTCAAGGGACGCCCCATGCGACGTGCCCGAGGACCTGCCATGGGGATGCACCGCGGGACGTACCGATGGGACGCGCTACGGAATGTGCCAATGGACGTGCCGCGGGACGTGCCAGGGGACGCGCCGCGCGACGTGTCAGGGGGACTCGCCACGGAACGCGCCAAGGAGCATGCCAAGGTGCAATGTTGAATGTATCGATCTTGATGTATGATGTACCGTGCCGACGGCTGTGCTGTGCTGGGCCGTGCTGAACTGCGATGTGCCATGCCGCGATTGTGCTCTATATATATATATATAGCGTTGTGGATCGAGCCTCTTTGCATCCGAGTCCTGACCGAACTGATCTGGATCTTAAGCTCGAGCTGCCTGAGCAGATGGTAGCTGCCCAAGAGCTAATTGACAGGGGGACATGCTAATTAGGAGGACGCGCCGCGGAACGTCCCAAGGGACGCGCCAAGCGACGTGACAGGGGACGTGCCATGGGGACGCACCGCGGGACGTGCCAAAGGAACGCGCTACGCAACGTGCCAATGGACGTGCACCGCGCGACGTGCCAGAGGGACTCGCCACGGGACGCTCCGCGGAACGTGCCAGGCAACATGCCAGGCTGCAATGCAATGGGTATCGATATTTATGTACCGTGCCGAGGGCTGTGCTGTGCCTGGGCGACCTGGACACGTGAAAACACGCGTTTTGCCCAAGACGTTCTCAGCACATCCTCATGCTAGACATCCGCCTGGGTAACCTGGACACGTGCAAACAAGCGTGTCGATCGAGACTTCCTCGACACATCCTCATGCTAGACATCCGCCTGGGCGACCTGGACACATGAAAACAAGCCTCTGGTTCGAGAAATCCTCAACAAATCCTCATGCTAGACATCTGTCTGGGCACCCTGGAGGCGTGAAACCAAGCGTCTCGCTCGAGACATCCTCAAGACCTGGGCACTTGAAAACAAGCATTTCACTTCAGAGATCCTCTGAATTCTGGTCCCCAGGAGAGGACAGTCTATAACACAAAACAAGCGTTTCGTTCGAGACATCCTCAACAAATTCTGAAACGCAAGCGTTTCGCTCGAGACATCCTCAAACATAATTCCGCCAGCCTCCTTTAAACTCGTCGTTTATCACAAAATATATTCCGCCGGCCTCCTTCAAGTCGAAACCGGGGGTAACAATACTCGGGAGCGGCCAAGAGGGGGGCGTCCAAGAGGGGGGGGGTGCAAATCATGGCCAGCGGCATGTGCGCGGCCCAGCGGGGGGGCCAGGGACGTAATGAAATGAGAAGAGGCGCCATGAAATCTGGGGAAATATCATGGCCCCCGCCATGAGATCCACCCCCCCCCTAGTCATCACCCTCCTCTTTGCCGCCCTCGACTGACGTTTACGCGGGCGGCCGTCTCGTCCCGCGCTCGGCACCGGGACCTCTGGCCGCCACGGAAGCGCGCCCCAGGGCGTCCCGGACACCCGCCGGGCAGCAGCAGAGATGGAGGGCAGAGGTGAAGAGGGGAAACGACAAAAACGGCGGGGACGACGGGAGGCGACAGCGACCACACCTCCTC